CTCTCTCTCTCTCTCTCTCCCTCTCAAAAATAAATAAACATTAACCAAAAAATTGAAATTGAGACAGGCGGATCAAGGCCGAAACTGCCAGTGGCTGCTGCCATGGTGCAGGCTTGTAGCTTATATGCTGGTGGTTCTGGTTGTCAGAGCACTTGGGTGTTATGTGGCACATATGAGGAGATAGGAATGCCCAGCCACGTCCCAGCCTCTTTTTAAACTGGGGCTCGGGTGGCTTGACTTCTTCCCACCATTGAACCTCATTCTGTCAGACTGGTATCTGGAACTTCAGGGGTTTTGCAAGCCTGTCACCATAAATCCTTCCTGGATTTTGTCTGCCAATTGCTACAGACATGTTGCTTGTTGCTGCACAGGGGATGTGTGTTTATACCTCCTTTCAAGGTAAAATTCTAAACTTCATTTCAGATGCTGAAGAAGGAAGAAGCAATTCCATGGCCCGGAACTTTAGCAATTGTTCATTCCTATATCGCCTACAAAGCAGGTAAAGAATCATCCACATCCTCTTTTGTGGTAAGCCTCCCCTTGCTTAAAAAAATGTACTAGAAGGCAGCGTTTGTTTTGTTTTCAGAAGGAAATTTGAGGTTAAAAGTGAAAAGCTTTTACTGAAAAAAATGAAAAGCTTATATAGTACTTTTCTTGGGGAGGAAAAATGAGAAAGCCACATCTTATTTATGTACAGCCAAGCCCACACCACTGCGATCTGTCTTAGCATACCTGTACGCATAAAAAGGAAGGTCTGGGGGTGCCTGGGTGGCTCAGTCTGTTGAGCATCTGGCTCTTGATTTTGGCTCAGGTCATGATCTTGTGGTTTGTGGGTTCGAGCCCTGTGTCGGGCTCTGTGCTGACAGATGGATCCTGCTTAGGATTCTCTGTCTGCTTCTCCCCAGCTTGTGCACACACTTTCTCTATTTCTCTCAAAATAAATAAACTTTTTTTTTTTTTTAAAGGCAAGGTCTAGGTGGGCATGTTCTGCACAGTGACTGTGGAGGTCAGGGGGAGCTTTGGGCAAAATACCTTCTTTGGTCAGCATTTTGAACACAGTGGCCTTTTCAAAGAATGTATTGTTAAAAACAATTCCTTTTTTTTTTTTTCCAGCAAAAGAAGAAGAGAAACAGAAATTACTTAAATGGAGTTCAGACTTAAAACAAGAGCGAGAACAACTAGAGCAGAAGGTGAAACAGCTCAGCAATTCTATAAGTGTAAGTAAAGTAAGCTCATCCCTTTGGCGGTGGGCGCAGATACGGTCCCTTTCACCCGCATGACAGGACTTGGGGCTCCCCAGGGCCCTTTCAAGGCCCTCCAGCTTATCGCCACAGTTAACTTGGGCAGACACCAAGTTTGCCTCCAGTTACAGTTTTGGCCCTGAGGACAGGTAGCCGGTTGGTAGATGGTGCCCTGGAACCTCCTGTGGGCTTTGATCGGAGAGTGGATTTTCAGTCTCAGGGCTGAAGATGCGAAGCAGCAGCTCCCGCAGTGTGGCCATCAGCCCTGTGTGTTCCCGAGCCGAAGGGGTTTGGGAGGGGTATGGAGCCTCTCCCGACGCCGGGCCGACACAGATCCGGTCCCTGCGTAGAAGCCTTTCTCACTGTCCTAGTTAGTGGTCTTTCCGCATGGCCCTCCCATCCCGTCCTTTCTTCCACACCCTGCTGATTGCGTCTCCAGGTGTTGCTGACCTGCCTGAGGAAGAGAGGATCCTGGAGACAAGTACTGGAAATAAATATTGCCCAGCCTGGCCTGTCCAGGTGGGAACCAGGGGTGTATTTGCAGCGGAGATTCTGAGGCCCCTCCAAAGCAAGTTTTATTTCTCAATGAGTAGGTCGCCCTCCCCTTGTTGGAGCGAGGTAGCTTCAGCCCTCACGGACACCAGGTAGTACCCTGAACTTGGTGACAGTTGAGCTGTCCCATTCAGCTGCTTTCCCCTCTTCACCATACTACCCATGGCATGTAGCTTTCACATCCCTTTCCCTGCCCAGAACAGAAGCCAGCAGCTGTGGGAGACCTTGGGCAAAAGGACAAAAAACCACAAGTCCGTGACCGAGCCGAAGGGTTTCTGTTGGCTGTAGTCTTTGATTCTCCCAAACATCACCGCGCTACCCCAGGCCCTGCCTCTGAATTCTTGCTGACCGGGCGATCCTCAATAGGCCCTCACATTGGATCCGGACACCACCATTGGCTCCTTCGTTCCCTGTCCTGGATAGCTCAGTCCCGTCCTGAACGTCCTGAACGTATTAGCACCCATTTGCATACCAAACAAAACCTGCCCAAACCAGCTTCAGCGCAGCTCTGGGAATGTTGTTTTAAATGACTTTTATTTTGTAGTCCTAGAGTGGCAATTCACATGGGGTTTTAAGTCCTAGTGTCAAGCAGGGTTGGTTGGCTTCTAAACCACTCACTTGCCCTCTCCCTCCCGCCTGTGGGGCCTCCTCCTCCCCGTGGGTGGCGGGTGGCGTGGCTTCAGAGGCCCCTCCAGTGCAGCGCAGAGCAAGGGGCAGGGGCTGCGCCCAAGCCAGCAGGTTCTTTTACCCGGAGAGGGCTGCCGGGCCTGTCGGAACAGCCACAGAGGCTCAGCGCCACTGCCCTTCTCATTTGCTGCAGAAATGCATGGAAATGAAGAACACCATCCTGGCCCGGCAGAAGGAGATGCACAGCTCCCTGGAGAAGGTAAAACAGCTGATCCGCCTCATCCACGGCATCGACCTCTCCAAACCCGTAGACTCTGAGGCCACTGTGGGGGCCGTGTCCAACGGCCCGGACTGCACCCCCCCTGCCATTGCCGCCACCTCCACGCCGGCCCACTCCCCCTCCTCCCAGAGCTGCACAGCGAACTGTACCCAGGGGGATGAGACTAAATAACAGAGCCCCGCGAGGAGAAGCCACGGGATCCCGGCGGCAAGGAGAGCAAAAACACTGAAGACTCTAGAAAAGCAAAGCCGGATTTCTTCTGGAAAGTACAGAATTCTTTTGGTTCTTTGGTTCCAGAGAGAGAGAAGATGCTTGTGCCAGGTGGCACCAGAGTTTGCCAATTGATCCTTCTTGTTCTGTGTGTACATGCAAAGATTGGACCATGTTACATGAAATAGTGCCAGCTGGAGGTTCTTTGCCAGCATCATGCCAAGTGAAATAATATATTTACTCTCTCTATTATACACCAGTGTGTGCCTGCAGCAGCCTCCACAGCCACCATGGGTTTGTTTCTGTTTTGTTGGGTGGGGAGCAGGGACGGGCGGAGGGAGGAGAGCAGGTTTCAGACCCTTATTTGCGGAGCCGTTTGTTTAGGTAGAGAAGACGAGTCCAAAGAGTGTGTGGGCTTTCCTGTTTCTAAACTTTCACTACTATAAAACCAAAAAAAAAAAAAAAAAAAGGAAATCGAGATTTAACCAACCCCAGTGCCCAGAGGAGGGATGGGAGGGAATGGGAGGGAGCCAGGGTGGGAAAAATATATCAAGTAAGCAGTATTTCCTATCGCCTGGGGAGGGGCACGGTACACGGAGAGGTGGACCGCAAGAACAAGGTTCTTCTCCCGCGCGCTCTGCTTCCTTCCGGGGGCGCCCCCACCGCTCCCCGCGTTCCTTCCCTGCTTTGGCAAATTGGCGCGCATCCCCGTGGATGATCCGGTTACCTTCCCTCTCCAAGAACGAGCAGAGCAGGCCCGGCCTCGGCTTGGCCATTGCCCGGGCAGGGAAGAAGGGTGTGTGTGTCGAGGAAGGAAAAAAGGTGGATCAGTGATTTTTACTTGAAAACAAGCTCCATCCCTTTTCTATATTTATAAGAAGAGAAGATTCTGAGCGAAGCAGCACGCGACCCAGGTGTGTGTGAATTGAATGGAGATGTTTCTTTCCTCTTTTTTTAAGTTTTTGTTGTTGCTTTTGTTTTTCTTTAAGAAAAAGTTTTATTTTGTTGTTTACTTTACTTTTTTGGTAACAAAAACTAAAATAAGGAATAGAAAAGCTGTTTTTCAGGCTGACAGTCAATTAAGGGTAGTCGAGGCCGTGCATGGTAGAATAGGAATCATAGTGTCAGTGAGGTCCAGTGAGTCCGTGTGAGTCCTGTGTCATCGTTCGGGGCACTGTTTTTATGCAAGGGCAAAAATCTTTGTATCTGGGGAAAAACAACAACAACTTTTTTTTAAATTAAAAAGGAAAATAAAAGATATTGAGGTCTTCCTAGTGTTACTTAAATTAAGATCAAGGTAAGAAACATTGTAAAAAAAAATTACAAAAGTGCTATTTGTTTCCTAAAAACAGTGATTTCTATTAAAAAGGTGTCAGAACTGGAGAAAATGCTGTGTAGTTATAATTTTTTAGCACAGAACCTGCTGATCATGATGACATTTTGCTGTGTTTGTGTCTCAAGACTGGTGGGCTAGTCTCCATGACTTCTGTCCTCTGGACGCTGCGGCCTTGAGGGGCAGCACGAGCCCTCCCACCACTCTCCCCTCCTTGGAAAGGACTGTCCTCCCTTCTTGGAGCAGGGGTCTGGGCTTCTGTTTTCAAAGCTCAGCTGGAGTGTGGACGGTATCAGGGCCCTACCCTACCCATTTGTCTCCTCGGATTTTGCTAGAGCAAAAGGCTGGTGCCTAAATAAGATCCCTTCCTTTGGTGCTGCTTTCAGTCTTTCAGCCACCAGCATTGTGAGTGCCTGGGGGACAACTTTGAAGGACTTGGCCAGTGACTGCTAGCCTTGGCGAGGGAGGGTGCAGGGGGCAGGCTGGCTGCATCAGCCCTTGGTGCTTAGAATGAACAAAGGAGCAAGAAGTCTTGAGGGTGTGTGGTGTCTCTGAGACAAAGAGCCCCAGGGTGGCCTTTGTGTCTGTCTTGCCTTTGGAGAGGTCTGAATCTCCAGCCGAATTCTCTGCCTGCTGGCTTCGGGTACAGGAGACGGAGTTTACTGCCCTTTGCACATTCACAAGCTTCCTGGGTGACCTGTGGCTGGAATCCCTGTGCTTGCCTTGGCTCGGCCGGTCTCCTTGAGAAAACCAGGGTTCTGAAAGACTTGGATCATGTCTGTCATCTTGCCTCGTGGGAAGTAAATTTGTCACGTGTGTGCTCCCGCCGGAGATCTTGGCCCCGTCGCATGCCTGGGCCCACAGAAGGAAGGCAGGCGCTCTGTGCCCCAGCCCTCCCTGGACCTCTTCTCTCAAGCCCGCCCCCTACTCCATAATGGCCAGGGTCTAGGAGGGGTGGACGAGGCCATGTTACTTTCTCCCTCACCCACTTAGGCCCAGAAATCCCAGTTAGAAACCTGAAAGCAAATGCAAGAGAAAGAGACACTTCTTAGGTCAAATATGCCTCATCCCTACTGGCCATTTCATCTTTCCAGGAGTGTTAGGGGGTGAAGGGTGGCTACACAGGCCTCAGAGTCCGACCCTGGCTGCAAAGTTGCCTGAGGGGGACAGAGGAGCTCCCTTTTCTCCTGCAGAAACCAAGGTGCTACGACTAGTCAGGGAGCTTTGGAGATGCCTGGACTAGTTGGAGGAATAGTTGGCGGAGGTTCAGAGCCCAGCAGCAGGCTGTGCGCCCGCTCTTAAGCTCTCGCATTTGACTTGCCCGGGCCACACGATACCTATCTTTTCTTGAAAGAAGTTCGGAAACGATCATCACTAGGGGCCTTTGCTCAGAAAGGAGCCGCCTGAGAATTGTCGGGGTGGCAGGGGGGACAGCGGTGAGGGTAGAGCTAGGAATCGGCCAGTATTTTGCCTGTTGTGAGTACTCACGCCCTCGCCTCGTCCGGGGTTGGGGTATGGATTCTTCCTAAAGTGCAGCTAGGAGCTGTCAGTGTGGAGTACAAAATGCAACCCTGCCCCCAAACCCACAGTCTAGACTCAAATTCCAAAACTCTACTTACTGCCATCAAAAGGCCCCGGTCACCCCATCTCCTTTTCCTTTATTGTCCTGCCAAGAGACAATGTGTCTGTGTCCCCCAGACCTGTGGGTGCTTGTGACGACCTGAGACACACGGTCATGACCGCCTCACCTGGGCTGTGTCTCCACTTCCCTCTTTCTCCTTCCCTCTGCCGCTCGTTCCCCATGACCGGGTTTAGCTGCTCACAAGACACATCTCAGACCAGCTGGCTTTGCAATCACTTCAGGGGCCAGGGAGTGGCTGGTCTGGGACTGGGAGGAGGCTGCCCTCGAGCCGTTGGCCCTGGCCGGCCCCGGTGGCATGGGCACTGCACCCCGGAGGCAATGAGGTCATGTTGCTGTCATTTCCCACCTCCCAGTCTTGCCAGTGCCGCCCGCGGGGCCTTCTTCTTTCATGGGGCCTGCTGGGTCTTGTCTCACCTCTGCTGAGCTCATCCAGAGTTCTGTTTCTCCCTTCCTTATCAGGCCCTTGGGGGCAGCCGGGCTGGGGGCAGCCCCTGGTGGGGCCATCCCTGTGTGGGGCTGCCACACGGCGGCCGCAGCCCCCAGCTGGCACCGTCCCGAGTGCCCGGTTGCCCTGCAGGGCCTGCCTGTCCCTGCTTCTTCTTGGCTCAGGCTCGACAGGCAGCATGAACGGGCACAACTGCCGCCCCCAGGCCTCCCCGTAAAGGAGGGTGACTGTGTCCAGCTCACCCAGTCTGCGTGTACAGCTGCCCCTCCAGCCATCTCTGATACTTCCTCTTGGGACCAGTGGAGCCCCTCTGGGCTCTCGCTCCCAATCTCTACGCGGTTTCCTCCCTCCACTCCCTTCTGGGGTGTGGTCTTTCTTATTTATCCAAAGGGCTTAATTTAGGAGACTTTTACCCCAGGGGTAAAAGGCTCTTCTGGGTAGTAGGATGGACGGTGGGCCCAGGTGTTTTCCAGGCCCTGAGTTCTCCAGATTCCACGGCTTCCGCTGGATGGGGGCAACTCTGCTCTGCGTAAATGACTGTGGGCCTCACCCCCACCCCTCAGCTGGGCACCCTTGGCAGGAAACAGGAGACCCATTTTCACCTTGACTTACAGCCGTCCTCAGTGCCAGCTCCTCTCCAAGGGAGGGGGCGGCCCCTGAGAAGATTCCTCTGGCCCTCTGGCAACAGTGAAGGGGAGGAAGCTGGGGGTCGCCCCCTCCAGAGAGCCAGGGTGGAACTCTTAAAAATAGCCCTCGTAGAGGAAGGGCAGGGCTCACAAATTCCACTTTGCTCCCCCCTCCCAGAAGCCCTTCCTCCCTGAGGACTCCGCCATCCCCCACAGCAGTCTCTGGCCCCTGCACCTCTGTGTCGTTGGGTCCTCAGCCCAGGGTAAGCTGCAGTCAGGCAGGACAGGATGGGCAGCCAGAGGTCAGCAAGCTCCGAGCAGAAAAGAGCCAGCCAGCCCCCAATCCTGTCTCTTGTCCACGCCCTTTGTGATTTCAGTCTTGGTAGAACTTGTATTTGGAGTTTTGTGCTTCAAAGTTTTTGTTTTTGTTTGTTTCATTTTTGTTTTGAGGGGGTGGGGGGGGATCCAGAGCAGCTGATCAATTTGTATTTATTTATTTTAACATTTTACTAAATAAAGCCAAATAAAGTCTCTCAGCCTCATGGTGTTGGGTCTGGGGCAGGGGAGGGTGGGCCTCCGGGGGAGGGTCCGGGCCCCACTGCGACTCCAGGGAGACTCCGCACCTTCCCGGCTGACCCACACCCTCATGCCCCCAAACCAGAAGGAACGTGCAAAAGGGCTTTAAAACCTTTTAATTACGAAAAAGAGATGTACAGATGAAGCTAGGGGAACCAGCCCCCAAACCACTGGGGCAGAGTGAGACTAGACCCCAGCCATAGCAGCACGGGGAGGCCCCCAGGACCCACCCCACAGGTGCTCCAACTGAAGCCCTTTCCACTGAGACCTTCAATAATTTAAATAGCAGGGAGGGTGGGATGGCTGGCAAGGCTGCTCCAGTGTCTGCAGGGAGCGTGTGAGAGCCAAGGTGGGGGGGGGGG